GGAAGAAATGCAGCTGGAATGTTCCTTGTAAGTGAGAATGGCCAGACTTCATCTCACCTACTCTGGTCATGTTGTCAGAAGGGGGACCATTCCCTGGAGAAGGATATCATGCTTCATAAAGTAGAGGGTCAATGAAAAGGGGGCAGGCCCTCAATGAGATGAGTTGACACAGTGACTGCAACGATGGGCTCAGGTGTATAGTAAGGATTGTGCAAGGAACAGGCAGTGTCTCATTCTGTTGTACATAGAGTCACTATGAGTTGGAGCTGACTCAGTGGCACCTCAGAAGAACAGCAGAAATACTGGAAATTTTTTTTTGAGACTCACAACAATTTGAAAAGGCTTGCAGACAAACTGTGAAGCCTAGAAATACAAAAAAATTAAAAACACAAATGTTATGAATGCATAAAATAATATGTAGTAAATAGTAGTCTATTTTATCATTTACTGCCATGGAACATATACAAATCTATTATAAAAAGCAGAAGCTCTGGTAGCCTAGCACCTAAGGCATTTGACTGTTAACCAGAAGGCTGGAGATTCAAACCCACCAGCCACTCCTTGGAAGGAAGATTGGGCAATCTACTTCCATAGAAGTAGATTGGCCTCAGAAACCCAAGGAGGGGTCGCTATGAGTCGGGTTGGACTCACCGGCACATAGCAACAGCAACATTATAAAAAGTTAAACTTTAATTTACACATAAAACTTAAAGACTGTACATGTACCACTCAGAGTCAAGAGAAATGTAAACAAAAGTGAAGATCCAGTATTAAATCATAATTGCATAAAACTTAACTTTACACTATAATTTCATAGCCACCTCCTGTTGGTATTATGGTGAGCTCAGGTGTTACAAGTATCTGCTTAAAATGCTATGTGACACTAACCATCTTTGTGTGACCAGTTTGTCTCTCCAGTAAATTATCACAGTAAAAAGTGATCTCTCATGGTTCTTGTGCATTTTTCATCATGTTAGTGCAATACCATAAATATTGAATAACACCACAGGACCTATATAAAGTGCTACTAGTGAGGGTGGAAGTGCTCCCAAGAAGCAGAGAAACGTCATGACATTATAAAAGGAAGTTCAGTTGTTTAATATATAACCTAAATTTAAATTGAGGTCTGCAGCTGCTGTTGCCCACCATTTCAAGATGAATGAATCCACAGTGTAAGGACTGTTGTAAAAATAAAAAAGAAAAGGAAGTTAGTGATACCATCACTGTAGCTATGCTAGTTGGCCCAAAAACCTTGCACTTTTTGCAAAATACCTTTTTATCTCATATTGAAAATGCATCTTTTATGTGGGTGGAGGATTACTATAAGAAAGGCATAGCTATAGACACTAATATAATTCAAGAAAAAGAAAAGTCATTATACAACAAATTAAGGCAGAAAGAAGTTGAAGGATCTAAAGCTGGAGAATCTAATGCCAGCAAATGGATGGTTTGATAATTTTACAAAGAAGTGGGCTTTAAAAATGTGAATATAGCAGGAGAAATACTTCTTACAACCTAGATGCAGCAGACGAGCTCCCAAGACATCATTAAGAGATCACTGAGGAGAAAGGATACCTGCCTGAACAGGTTTTTAATGCAGATGAAAGTACACTGTTCAGGGAAAAAAAAAAAATGCCACAAAGGACATGTATTTGTAAGGAAGAGAAGCAAGCATCAGGATTTAAAGCAGAAAAGGATAAGCTAGCACTACTGTTTTGTGCAAATGCAGTCAGGTTTTGATCAGGACTTTTTATGTTATCCATAAGGCTTCCAATCAATAGTAGGCTGTTAAGATTTTCGGGAATCAGAAGTTCTACAAGGATTTTTGGCTGCAGGGGAGGGTCAATACCCTTAACCGCCACGTTGTTTAAGGGTCAACTGTATTACTGTGGCCTTGTTTCTTTGGGAAGAAGAAAAATCATTAAAAAGTATCTGCTTTCTAGCTTTTTATTTGAATATTAGGTGTATGTTCATTCTTTTTAAAGACGGTTTCAGTGCACTTTTTAATAAATAACTTGAATGACTGTTGCTTTCTATTGAGATTGTACTCAGAGCACTCCTGGGATTTGAGTTGAACAGAAACAAGTTAGGGGAATTTTGTGGGTGAGAGAAGTCATAAGCAGACACATGCATCTCTTGATCTCTTATTTTGAGGTGCAAGTCATGAGTGTCATTGTTTGGCACACATCTGTAGTATAACATTAACCCCCATCCCAGTCTTTCTCGATCTTCCCTTTCTGGGCCTTTAAGCCACTGAAACCAGGGACATGAGGAGGCATCTCTTCTAGCTTATCTTTCTTGGGCGTGGTAGCTAAGCTGCAGCTTAAATAGAACCTTCCAAAGACAAGTAGTATGTCATAAGTGAGTCTCTTTAGAACTCTCAAATAGGTACAGTTGTAAATATTCTACATTTATTAACTCATTGAATCTTTGCCACAAATCTGTGAGGTGTAAATACAGTTATCCTTTTTTGTAGTCTGAGACCAGGCTGACTAGGTTTGAATCTTGGCTCCTCTATCTAGTTGTGTGTCCTTTAGCAAGTTTTAAAAAACTACACTGCTATCTAATTGAATCCTACTCACAGCAACCCTATAGGACAGAGTAGAACTGCCCCACAGGGTTTCCAAAGCTGTAAATCTTTCTGGAAACAGACTGCCACATTTCTCCTGTGGAGCATCTGATGGCTTTGAACCACTGACTTTTCAGTTAACAGCCACACATTTAACCACACTGCCACCAAGGTGCCTTTTAGCAAGTAATTTAACCTTTTTTTTTTTTTAACCTCAGTTTCCTCATCTATAAGATGGGAATAATGATAACTTCCTCACTACTTTCAAGGAGCCCTGGTGGCACAGTGGTTAGGTGCTAGCTAGACTGCTAACCAGAAGATCGGTGATTCAAATCCACCAGCTCCTCCATGGCAGAAAGATGTGGCAGTCTGCTTCCAGAAAGATTTACAGCCTTTGGAAACCCTATGGGACAGTTCTTCTCTGTCCTATAGGGTCATGATGCTTCAGAATCAACAGCAATGGGTTTACGGGTCACCACTTTTGAGTGGTAAAGATTAAATGAAATGATCTATATAAAACACTTAGAACATAGACCAATACTGGGCACATAATGAATGCTCCTAAATGTTACTACCCATTGTTGTCTGACTAGTTAGTTTATAATTACAGGGTGAAAAAGATCACTGTCACAGTAATTGAAACATGGTTTTCTGTCCCTGCCCTACTATTAACTAGCTATGTAATTGGATAAATCTCTCTTTTCTGGGCCTTGGTTTTCCTATACTTGTTATTTTAAACTTTTCATTTGAAAATAATTTTTAATTTAGAAAACTGCATACATAATATGGATATTTTTGTATGTGTATATGCACATAGCATGCATAGGGAACTAATACACCAGAGGCTTGTGTGGTTTGCAGAAAAACTGTGTATCACACGTGTTATTTGTATAAAAGTACAGTCATATAAATAATCTCTGTATCCAGATTGACCTGTGATATACCTTATACCTTACCCCATTTGCTTTTATCTTTTGTGTGTGTGCTTTCAGGTGCAGTCTGTATGTGCACATGCACACACATTCTGGCACACACTTTTTTCTTATCCATTTGAGAGTCAGTTATACATCATGATCCTTCACCCTAATTACTTGAGGAAGATTTTTTAAGAATATATTCTCTTAACTACTGCAGTTGTTTAGCAACTTCATACATTTACATTAATACATTTAATTAATACATTTACATTAAATTAATACATTTAACTTATCTGCCATCTCTGTTCCAGTTCTAAGAGCATTGTCTTTTTATAGACAACACCCCCCACACACATACACCTGCCGCAAGTGTAGTTTACAGTCTAGGTAAGGTATTGCATTTAGTTTTCAATCTCTGTCTTTGATACATTAACATTTTTGAAGAGTACAGTATTTACCACTATCTTTAAAAAAAAAAAAAAGAAGAAGAAGAACCTTCCTTACTTTCTGTTTAGTGTTTCCTTGTGATTAAATTGAGTTTATGCAGGCTTGGCCAGAAAACTTTGTAGGTGATATGTCCTTCGCAAGTCATCGCATCTAGAAATAAATAAATGCAGAGTAAGGAGAATCAACAAATGTTCTGAAAATTTCAGAGAATGAAGACAAATAGATGGGAATGGTCAGGGAAGACATAAAGGAGACTTAGTTTACCTATTTGACATAAAGCATATTTTAAAATTTTACCAATTTTCCCTCAATGTCAGTTTTTGTGTTAGCTCATTTAGTGTTTAGTAATAATTACCGTCTAATACTTTTTGATAAGCTTACTTTTATGAAATACATTGAGAGGAAACTACTGATTTCTATTTTGAAATTTAATTTAATGAAATCAGGAGAACTTAAGCTTTTTGGACTACTCTGGTATTTGAAGTGTTATTTGTATGTCTTTCAAATGGTAATCAAGACTCCACTGTTTATTACATATGGTTCCCCAATGACTTAGATTGATATAAAGTTAACATTGAATTTTGATACATGGCAGCAAGTTATACATAATTCCTGGTATCAGATACTAGAGTCAGAATGACAGTTTGTATTCACCTTTGCCACCATTCTAGAATCTGTTTAGCACCCCTGCTTGAGCTGTGGAAAGCTGCTGAAAGGAAAGTACTGTTCTTGCCAATACCTTTTATAGAATATATAAATAGTAATAATGCTGATGCATCTATTCTCAATGCTTTTTTTCCCTTCCAGGCCATCTTTATATAAACCATCCAAACTTTCCATGGAAAAATAACAGGCTACTTCACAGGATACGATTAGGTCCAATATCAGTTTATTGCTTGAGATTTTTTTCCATGTTACGTGTGGTTGACACAGTTGAGTTATATCCTTTAACAGGTGAGAGCACCAGAGGTGTATTTGAAGGTAATTTTTCTTCATTGTAAGGTTTTTTTTTTCTTACATACATTTAAAAAATAATTTATTGGCCTTTGTGTCGTTTGTTTCTGCAGTTGAAGAAACCCAGTCTGAAACAAGGTCTTCCCCTAGCTGCCTCTGAACTCAGTGACTGCCAGATCTCCAAACATCAAGTCCCGCTTTGTTCACCAACCTGTCTGACATGTCGGGACCCGTGCCAAGCAGAGCCAGAGTTTACACAGATGTTAATACGCACAGACCCCGGGAATACTGGGATTATGAGTCACATGTGGTGGAATGGGGGTAATTGTTGCTATTTACTTCACTATACTCACCAAAAGAACTGACTCTTAGGGATTTATTGTGTAATTTGTGTCAGGAAAACTACCTGGCTGTGCAACTACAACTCAAGACTATGCCACATGGCATATTCTTCTTTTAAGCTGCATATTTGGATTTTCAATGAAGTATTACTTTTGCACATTAACAGTTTAATGGGCTTACTATTTAAAATTTTAAAAATCACTTCAGTGTTTTCTTACTCTTTTCTCTGATTTATATATTCTGTATACAGAGCTGGTAATATTTACCTATCAGCTTGCCTCTCAAGCTAAAGACTGCAGATAGGTGAGAATTGATATTTGAGAAATTTAGAAACCACTAGATTCTTACATTGAAGTTTGTTTTGTTTTACATTATTTTTGAGGTCAGAAAATGTTGTCCCTTGAAGATAATGAAGGCTGAACTAATTCTTCAGAAAAACGTCCTTTTTCTGAAGAAAAACAAAATTAAATCCTTAAACATTTGCCCTTGTCACACAACTAGGCATGTGTAATAGGGAATTCAGCCTAAATTCCATCTGGAACAGTTGTAGTCTACCTGGATAGTTGTATTTGCCCTCCTAATTCTCTGTGCAGTCTCATCTAGATGTTTCATTTCCTGGCCCGGTGTGGTATGTATTTAATTGATCAGGTCATACTTTTTTTGTGGTAAAAGCATTTTGTTACTGAAATGCAAAAGAGAGCAATTTTAAAATTCCAAGCTACAGCTCCTATATGCTGCGTTTCATGTCTAAACCAAAAACCAAACCAAACTCACTATCGAGTCAATTCAACTCATAGCGACCCCTCTTGGGTTTCCGGGGCAGTATTTCTACAGAAATAGATTGCCCAGATGTACTTCCAAGGAGTGGCTGGTGGGTTTGAACCACTAGCCTTCTGGTTAGGATTCAAATGCCTTAGGCAGTATGCCACCAAGCGCTTACATTTCATGTCTACACATAACGCTATTTCCATAGCCTGTGATTAAAGACAACTTGTTTCCCTAGATTGTCACAGGGTTAATGCTGGTTGGGCCATAATTCTTAACAGTAAATGCATTGCCTCTGTATAAAGAGATATTTTGTGTTTTAAAGATACCATCAAGAACCAATGAAACAATACTGATAAATGTTATCACTGTTGATTATCTAACAGTTCCCCTCATATATCACATTCTTTGGAATCTAGGTAATACCTGTGTTTCTACTGTGGTAATTCTAACAGCTGTTCAACTGTTTCCAAATTGAGTACTTTGCTCTCAGTTCTGTTTAAATGGCACTGAACAACTTTTTTGAGTTTTCGGCATGGTGCCATTTGCTTGTTTGCATTTGTTTTGTATGGAGGAGGACTCAACCAGAACAAAGAGCTTCCTTCCCCTAGATCTGCTGTGATTATTACGTTTACCATTAGTGTTGGTACTTTTTGTCTCCTCTGTTCGTTCACTTTCTTTTTAACTGTTAAGGAAAATGAATGGCTGGTTTTTAACATACTACATTCTTAATATTTCCAGCAGGAATAAATAGAAGTTAGGCCTTACTAAAGTGACCATAGGAGCCCTGGAAGTGTAGTGGTTAAAGCATTTGGCTGCTAACCAAAAGGTTGGTGGTTCAAACCCACCAGCTGCACCAATGAGAGAACAATGTGTCATCCTGCTTCCATAAAGATACGCAGCCTTGGAAACCCAGTGGAGGTCACTATGAGTTGGAATCGACTCCATGGCAGTGAGGTTGTGGGGGCAGAGTGACAGGGAGGGGGGACCATATTTGTCATTCTTTAGAGCAAAATCCTCTAAGTTGGAAGCAACGGCAAGGGGAAAATGTTGACATTTCCCTTATTTTTTTTTTAACTCTGTTTTAGTCACCTGATACTGCTTGTTAGTATGAAATACGGGTAAAAGCGAAAGAAGGGACCTTGATTGTCATTCGTGGTATATTGTGTGGTTTGTAAAATCTATTGGATGGATTATCCTTGTAATGTGTCCTGCAGCACAAGTGAGAACTCAAGCCTAGATACTTGGAAGCTGCTTATCTGCAATGAGACCCCATTAAAAATCAGCTCCTGGGTGTGGCTGAATTGGTTCAGGCACTAGGGGATGGGAGTGTATAAAAATGCATTGATACTCTTATTCTCCAAGGGAAAGCTGTTGAAAACATACATAACAAATTGTAATACTATGAGCTAGATGTGCATAGTGTGTCAGTATTTGAAAGAATAATTTGAAAGGCTTAAATTTTTCTTATCCTAGATTTAAAACACCTGTTTTTAGTTGCCACAGTTTAAAAACAAAAACCAATATAATAAAACCAATTTAGGAATTATTTGAAATACCTCTTATTTCTTTTAACTGGTAATAAAGTTTTGTTAGTTGAACTGGTGTTTAATAACTTTTTAATCTTTGTGACTGACTTTGGACTGTTTTGTTTACAGAAACCAAGATGATTACCAGTTGGTTCGAAAATTAGGCCGGGGTAAATACAGTGAAGTATTTGAAGCCATCAACATCACAAATAATGAAAAAGTTGTTGTTAAAATTCTTAAGGTGAGTGCAAGAAGTGAGAAATTACGATTTTGGAGGTCTTTTTAAAATAGCATCTTAAAAGGTTTTTGGGGTGCTTTAAGACATTTATTTTGTTGTATCCTTCTGAAGTAAATTGAATAAGGATCCTCATTTGACAGATCAAAAAACAGGTGAGAGAAGCAATTTAATTCAAATCATATACTAGATGGTGGCAAAGGAAGGGAATGAATATTAGGTCTCCTCCTTAGGCTTGTCTCATACTGATTCCCTTTTTTAAAAAAAAAAAATATATATATTGCATGCTTTTGTTTTAATAAAAAAATTGCTACCTCTGCGGTATAAGGATGAAGAGTCACAAACTCAGGCCTTTAGGGGTAAGGTAGGTGACATAAATATAGCTAGTCTGAGGGGTATGCCCATGCTGAAATGATGTGAGTGGTAGGAACTACAGCAAACTGAGGAGCACTGATCTCATCAAAAGGAGATAGTTGCTTGCAGCTCTAGCTGATTATTTCCCTGTAGTAATGTAGGTCTACTGTTGCTTAATATTCTGTTTGGAAATTTAATTTATCTGTATATGAATTCTCCTGATTTTTAAACATCGGTTCAAGATTTTTTAAAAGCACTGTCTGAGCCAGAAGTGATCCAGGGGCTAGCAGTATGCAGCTTGTAATAAGCTCTGGTGGCGTAGTGCCTGAGGATTTGACTGCTAACCAAAAGGCTGGTGGTTCAAACCCACCGGCTACTCCTTGGAAGGAAGGTTGGGCAGTCTACCCCTAGTGGTATACCACCTCAGAAACCTAAGGTGGGGTCACTGTGAGTTGGGTCCACCTCTAGGGCACATAACAGCAACAACAGCAAACCAAAAAAAATACCTAGCACATCCGTATATTAAGTGTAGTTAGATCCAAATAACTAAATATCTGTGTTTTAGCAATTGTGGTAGCTGTTAAAAAAAAAAGTTATATACATAAATAGAAAAAAAAAAAAAGTCCTTTTGTTCTTGTGTGACCACAATTAATTACTAATGGGATATTTAGTATCCCGTTAGGATACTACACCTGTTAGGCACTATACAGCTTCTCAAATATTAGCATCAGATTTGAGATCACTACGCTCATTTCTTGTTTCACATTGATTTTTGCGTAGTACTTGCTTTTTACCACCGCAACCACTGAAAACCCAGCTTCACGAAGATGCCAATAAAAGGAATATAGTACAGTCTAATAAAGATTAGACATCAAGCTAGTCGTTTACTGACGGGTTCTGGCAGATGGCAAGCACTGGTATGCTTCCTTCAGGTATGCAAAATATCCCACAGTACCAGTGTGAGTTGGCTAGGGTACCTTGGCACAACATTTGGTAACCAGAAGAGTTTAAGTGTTTATGTGTCTCTCATGACATGTAGAAAGAAAACTGAGCTAGAAATCAGAGACTTGGTTTCTGTTCTGGTTACCTAGTGCCGCTCTGACAAGAATATGCCACAAATGGGACAGCCTTAACAAGCAGGAGTTTATTCTCTTGACAATTTGGAGGCTTTAAGTCTGCGTTCAAAGTGCCAGGCTCTAGGGGTTGTGTGAAAGCCCCTCAGCCTTAGGCTTCAGCTCTGCCTCCTCTTCCCGGCCCACTGGAGCTAGAGGTTTTTCTTCACGCAGGCAGCTACTGGCTGCTGAGGCTAACAAGCCCCAGGTTGACATAAAAAGGCACCGTCCCAATGTTATCAAACCACATGGCAGGCCATTAATTCAAGTCCATTGTAAGTCCCAAGATCAATAGAGCATGGCAAGCTGCTAAACGACATGGCTATATGCAGGGTCCAAGTGTGCCATAAGCTGGAGACTATCCCCAAGGCATCTCCTTATATACAGGAAGCAGACCACATCCCAAAGGCAGCTACTCAGCTGTTTGTGGTAGATCCCACCATTGAGCTGATTGCCAGTCTCATCATGGGGAATAACTACCACCAGCTGCCCAGCCACTCAACCAGGCCCAGCCAAGTTGACATGCAAACATAACTACCACAGGTTCTAACTCAAATTCTAAGAATAATTAGCCATAACAGTCTTTTTAACTTACCTAAATCATGTTTCTTCATCTGTGAAAATGAGATGAGATACTCTTTCTTTACCTACCTCAGAGTTGTTATGAAGGTCAAATACAAAATCGTGTGTGGAAATCTACTTTAGAGATTGAAATTCTGTGTTATTATAGGATGGTATTCATTTGGGAGGGGTACAGACCATGGGTCTTAATAGAAGTTTAGAAGAGGGTGGTGGCTAAGAAAAGCTCCCTGGAGCTGTTTTCATGCCCTGAATGGGAAGATTTGGATAGGTATGGGTAGAAGTGGGGATGCATGCTCTAGAATGTACTGGAATAAGGAAAGAAGAGGAGGAAGAATTAAATGAGTGACATATTTCATGTGAAATGTGATTACACATAGGTGATGAACTTGGAAAGGGAGATGAGATTGATGATGAAGGCCTGGGAGAGAGAATCTCTACATTTCCTTCCACCCTTAAAGTGTGATTTCATCTCCTCTAGGTAGTTGGAGCCATTGATGGTTTTGAGTAGAGGATGATTTGGGAAGTTGTTTTTTTCCAGCTCAGTCTTTTCTTTACTATGTATTTCACTATAATTACATGGATGATAAGGAACTCTGATGATGTAGTAGTTGAGGTGTTTGGCTGCTTGCTAGAAGGTTGGTGTTTGGACCTGCCACTTGAAGGAAGAAAGATGAGGCAGTCTGCTTCTGTAAAGATTTATCACCTTGGAAAACCAGTGAAGGTTGCTATGAGTTGGAATTGACTTGATGGCAATGAGTTTGGTTTTTTAGGTGTAGATGATACAGAGCCTCAGTGGTGGAGTGGTTAAAGTGCTCAGCAGCTAACCAGAAGGTTGACAGTTTGAACCCACCTGCCACTCTGTGGGAGAAGGATGTGGCAGTCTACTTCTGTAAAGATTTACAGCCTTGGAAACCCTATGGGACAGTTCTACCCTGTCCTGTAGGGTTGCTGAATCAGAATTAACTGGATGGTAACAACTTTTGTGATTTGGGGTTTTTTTTTTTTTTTTTTGCTTTTTTTATATACACAATGATATGGCTATAAACTGAAAAAAACTGTTGCCATACAATCTATTCTGTCTTATAGTGACCGTATAGGACAGAGTAGAATTGCTCTATAGCGTTTCCAAGGCTGTAATCTCTATGGAAGCAGACAACTACATTTTTCTTCCACAGAACAGCTAGTGGGTTCAAACTGTGGACCTTTTGGTTGGCAGCTGAGCACTTTAACACTGTACCACTGGGGCTCCTCATGGTCTAACTGTAGATGAAATTTATATATAGACTATAGTTAAAATTTATCTCCTATTTTATTTGAGACAGAATTTGCATTGATCGCATTAAATTAGGGTATCGGTCACCTGCCTAGTCTGTCACTTTCTGCTTTTTAAGATGATAGATATTAAGGGTTCTGTGGAATAAAAGTTTTGGACACTGGTAGTTTTTGCCATAGACCATCAATTGGAAAATTGTGATTTAGTAGAAAGCAGATAGATTGATATGTTAGCCTCTGGAAGGTGTAAAGATCTCCCAGATACTTTGTTGTTGTTGTGTGCGTGCCATCAAGTCAATCTCTACTGATAGTGACCTTCTAGGATAGAAAAGAATTAACCGCCTGCTGGGGTTTCCTAGGCTAAATCTTTATAAGAACAGATTGTCAAATCTTTTTTCCCTCAGAGTAGCAGGTAGGTTCGAACATCTGATCTTTTGGTTAGCAGCTGAGTGCTTAATCATTGTGCCAACAGGGCTCCTTCCCAGACACTCTAGCAGATCATAAAGATCTGAATGGTTGCAGCAAAAGGAGAAAACTACTCTTCACCTTTTTGTTTGCCAGCCAGTCCCCTATTAGAAGGAAATAAGATCAAGTCAAATTATTTTAACAAGTCCAAAAAGTTCTTAGACTCCTCTTACAAAATCTTCACCTAGGATTCATTTCTGTTCTTCCTCATAACATGCTTTCTAGTCCATCATTTCCATCCCATCTGCCACCTGGATCACCTTTCTAAACCAAATCTCTGATAGCAGAATAGAATCCCAACACCTTAGTGTAGTATATATATTATGCATGTGATGCTGACCTGTTTCCTCGACCATGTCTTTTGCCATTCCTTGACACTTTTGCCATATTGCTCATTTGTGCTTTTCATAAGCCACTCCATGTGCTGTTCTCTCTACCTAGAAGACCCTTGCTCTTTCTCATCTCTGTCAACGTAAAGAACTCCTGCTAATCTAGTATAGATCTCATCTCAGCCATCATTTCCTCTGTAAAATTCCTCCTTATTTAACCTTTATGTAGAAAGGTGCTTCTCTATGTATTCACAGCATCTTACCTTACTGTTACTAGGACTTAGTACAATGGGTTGTAATTTTATGTTTATTTGCCTGCCTCACTATACTGGCCCCTTCTTAAAGCAGAGAACTATATTTTTGTTCTCCCATTGCTTAGCACAAAATGTAGCCCAGGTAGGAAATCTGTTGAATTTGTTGGCTAAGTAAAGGAAGAGAGTTTGTCAGTGTATTTGAAGATTAGAACTTAAGCTATTTTTGTTTCAGATATGTCTTCGAGCATCATAAGAGTCAGTAAAGTAGTGGATATATAAATACATAAAGTATTGTCTATGAGCAAGGCACTTTTAGTAAAATATCTTCCATTTTTTGAGTTTCTACTTTGCATCAGGCCCTCTTAATAATTCCGGTACATATATCACAACAACACTGTAAACGAAATCTATTGCTTTTGCAGCTTTGTTAAAAATGCAATTCAGAAACATTTACATGCTGCACAGCTACAAAGCTAGGTTTTGAGGCCTGTCTGGTTCTAAAGCCTGCTTGTTTTCTGCTATACTGGCATACAGCAGAATGGCATACAGGAGTTAACGTGGTGGTATCCTTCTCTTGGAGGTTCTCAGACTTGAGACAAGGTTAAAAGACTTTACATTATTGTTTAGTAGTTCTTAGACCTAGTTCATTAGCCTAGGTAGTATTTAAAACTAGATTCTCAGGCCTGTTTTCAGTATTCTGATTCAGTAAGTCTAGGTGGTCCTGGGGATCTGTTAAAAAAAATCCAGGTGATTATTGATCTTCAGAGTTTAGTAACCATGATCTCTTTAATGAAGAGAATAAGATATACTTAAAATCATTTCTAAGAATTGATTACGGTGCATCAGCAGTATGAGGTGACAAAACACCCTAGGAATTCAGAAAAGTACACCAGCATATGGAAGACCTATGCAGTCTAGTACAGCAGCCAGGGGCCACATATGACTGTTGAATGCGTGAAATGTCGCTGGTCCAAATTAAAATATGCCAGATTTCAAAGGCTTATCATTAGTACAAGAATGTGAAGTAGCTTAGTAATAGTTTTTAATATTGATTTACATATTGAAATGTTAAGATTTGGATATATTACTAAAATTAATTTTATCTGTTTCTTTTTACTTTTTTAACGTGTCTACTAGAACATTTCAAATTATATTTCTATTGGGCCAGTACTGTTTTAGACTATTCAGAAGGAAGGCTTTTTGGAGGAGGTACAGTTGGAGGAAGGCCTTCCTCAGAAAAATGAAAAGGATTTCTATACCAGACCAGATGTGGAAATAATGGGTGAGGACAAAGAAATATGGAGGTCCTCTCTTTGAGAGACTCTACAGACTAGTGTCTTTAGAATGGGGAGGGATTTGTTCACAGGCATATTGCTGACAGAGCTAGACAGATTTTATTGTCTGTTACGTCCCAGCCATATTCTGAGGCCTTTGTAGATACCTCAGTTGATTCTTGTGGCAATCTTAGGAGGTAGGTACTCTTGTTACCAATTTTACACATGGTGAGAGGTTTATAGACTTTACATACATTGCTCCTGGGCACACAGCTAGCAGGTAAGGGAGATAGGATTTGTATCAGGCATTCTGACTCCAGAACCTACACTTGATCCAGAAGGTTGTACAAGGGTGGTTTGTCCATCCTTGCAGTTGGCTCTGATTTCCTTCAACTTTATTAGGGTATTTTTAGAATCAGAGAAAGGGATAGAAAGTGCCTGTGTTTCATCCTAAATGGTAAGTTTTGTAGAATACCTTAGTACTACTAACCATTTAAATTGCTGGTTTGGAAGTTTTTAGAAAGTTAATGTATTTGAGCTGATAATTGAGATTAAATGCTACTTTTACAGAGGTCTGGTTTTTGGAATGGTAATCTTTTTTTCTTTCAAGTCAACATTTGCTAAGGCCCTACAGAGTTCCTGACACAGTGCTAGGAGAAAGGGATTCAGAGACAAGTCTGACATATTTCCTTCTTCCAAGGATCTCTTTAAGTTAGCCATTTATGTATTACATTGCTTGCTGAAATACTCTAAAATGATTTTTTTCACTGATATACTTTTACCCTTTTAGCCAGTAAAGAAGAAGAAAATCAAGCGTGAAATAAAGATTTTGGAGAATTTGCGAGGCGGCCCCAACATCATCACACTGGCAGACATTGTAAAAGACCCTGTGGTGAGTATAGTAGGTGTTAGCAAGGCCTACCAGGGTTGAGGTAGTGTTTGACCCAGAGCACAGGTGGCCTCTTTCTGTTCTTCTCTACCGTTAAGCCCTGGTTTAAAATCCTTAATCAGATCTACCATTTAACTAGCTTGGGTCTTTCTTCTAAAGAGACCTCCACCCACCGAGTATTTCTTATTCTTCTAGGCTAAGAGACTGATAGCACTGGAAACTGAAATGTGTTAATCCATTTTGCAAACTCAGGTCCGATGGCGATGGGCGCAATGTCGGGCTGCCTAGAGCCTGGTGAGACTTCAGCTCCATGTCTTCTGTTTGAAATCCATGCCCCAAATGACCTAAGTGTGGTGATCAGAGCGGGGAGGGCTTGTAGTAATAGAGGGTTTCCTACTGCTGAGGAGAGGACAGACTCACCACACAGAATCTGCAAACATTGTGTCCACCAAAGCTGCCAGGGTTATTGCTAATGTCTGTTTTCTTTTTCTTTCCCCTAGTCACGAACCCCTGCCTTGGTTTTTGAACATGTAAACAACACAGACTTCAAGGTATAATATATAACCAACCATTTCAAGTTGTTGGGTTTTTAGACCACCTAGAAAGCCTTTATGAGAGAGAACACTGTTGGCAGAGCTTCCTTCTAACTTATTTAAAAGAATTTTATGATAGGAGACAAGAAAACTCCTATATATAAGCAGTGCCCACTTTCCACATCTTAGTATATTGCCCTTAGTTTTGTGCCCTTTTTAATAGCCAGTGTGTTTGTTTCTCACCACTTTTACCACTCATTTGACAATTTCTGCTGAATGTCCAACTTAGTGCAAGCAACAACACATGTTCAGTCAGGATCTCTCCTTATGGAATCTTCTTTAAAACAGCAGTATTCAAGAATGTAGGCACTGTATGTGTAAAAGCAGGGACCTAAGAAACTCTGGGCTATAAATCTTTAAAAGGGGTGGTGGGAGTAGTGTCAAATTCTGCTGTAGCATAAACCTCTAGAAGAGTTAAATCTGAATTCCATCCCATCCTTTGGACTGACTGACTGACTTATTTCAAACAGTTCTTAATTCCATTATAACAGGAGAATACAGGCAATCTCTTGGGGTACCCATATAAAGGTATTTGACCTACCTTTTCACCAGTCCAGTACCAAGAATGTTTTAAGTGTCGATCAATTGATGAATGAGAGGGAGAGAGAAAAGGAAAGAAGAGGAATTATTTTAGCATCAGAAGGATAACTTCAAGAAAACTCTTGTCAGGAACATCACTAACCATTTAGATATATGCATGTAAAAACCAAAAAATCTCCACAACTCTTTAGAACCTGGAAAAGATAAGTAACAGTTTACAAAATTTACTATCAGTTTGGAACAGGAGTAGTTCTTTAAGTTGATTTAACAGGTCTTGGCTGTATGCCAGTCTGCATGCCTGCTGGTGCTTTGCAGTACTGACTGGGTGAGCCAAAGACGAGTTAGTTCCCTATTAAGGAGGCTGTGTGTTTGCCAAAATGCTTTCATTCGTATGTGAGAAAGTTGAAGATGAATGAAAAGCAAACTAAATTACAAGTGTATATTGGTGCACATTACATACGTAAGTTGGTATATTCCCCACAGTGGATTATTGCATCAGTAATATGGGTTTAAATAGTTCTTCACTTTTATATGTAGAGTTAAAGACCCAAAGTATCTATTTAAAGTAAATGTTATATTGGAGAAATAGAGACCAGTGAACAGACAGATCTTGGATCAATGACAAATGTGTCAGGTCTTGGTTTGAATGACTGCAAACAAGGATTAGAGATTGCCTTCCTGTCAACATTATCTCATGACTCAAATGTTATGTTTGTCTTTAACAGCAATTGTACCAGACGTTAACAGATTATGATATTCGATTTTACATGTATGAAATTCTGAAGGTAAGGGTATTTTCTATATATCTTCAGATTTATCTTTCCTTGATTAAATAGTCCAATTAACAGTAGAAAGGCTGATTAATTAACTTTGTAAAGTATATTGAAAGAAGGGACCTCTACATACAAATTTTTAATAATAGTATCAGAACCTTTGTGTTAATAATGTAAGGATTATGGAGTAGGGTCTAGTAGGAGTATAATCTAGAATCCTTGGAAAAGCATATTTGGAAGGAAACTGAACGCCTTTTATAGATATTTGTAATCTCCATCATGTTTCCTAAGTAAGTTACAGTTAAATTGTCAAAACTTATAAAAACAAGTCCTGGTAATGTTGACTTCTGGCATACTTTATTTCATTTAAGGTTTAACAAGCAAAACAGTAAACTTTAACTTGGCCCTCAAAGAATTATTGTCCTAAGGATTGTTCTGATCTCTGCTTAGAGAGCACTGACTGAAAGTGGACTTGGATTTCTAAAATGAAATCACCAAATACCTTACTCCCAATAGTCAAGATCAGCTTTTGTTGTTGTTGTTGTTGTTGTTAAGTGCCGTCGAGTCGTTCCCGACTCATAGCGACCCCATGCACAGCAGAAGGAAACACTGTCCGATCCCGCACCAGCCCCACAATCCCTGCTATACTTGAGCCCATCATTGCAGCCACCGTGTCAATCCATCTCGTTGAAGGCCTCCCCCTCTTTCATCGACCCTCCACTCTACCAAGCATGACATCCTTCTCCAAGGAATGGTCCCTTCTTACAACATGACCAAAATAGGTGAGATGAAGTCTGGCCATTCTTGCTTCCAAGGAGCATTCTGGCTGCACTTCTCCAGGACAGATCTGTTAGTTCTTAGCAGTCCATGGTACTTTAAACATTCTTCGCCGGCACCACAACTCAAAAGCATCAACTCTACTTCGGTCTTCCTTATTCATTGTCCAGCTCTCACATGCATATGAGGCGATTGGAAGTATCATGGCTTGTGTCAGGCGCACCTTAGTCCTCAAGGAGATATCCTTGCTCCTCAGCACTTGAAACAGTTCCTTCGCAGTTGACTTTCCCAATGCTACACGTCGTAAGATCAGCTTTTAGATGAGAGAATTACCCTGAGTTCCTAAAATTTCATACTAAGTGAGAGTTGCCACAAAACCTGTTGTTTGAGCCTTAGAAGCACCCTAAAGGGATCATGCCAGAAGACAGACTTGATCTTTCCATTGGCTCATGCAGTCTTGTGGCAAGCAGGGCTTCAGAAAGTTAGGGATATGTTTGCCTAGCCCTTGGATCCATAAGAACCCAAGTTGCCCTTCAGAAAGGACAAGAATTTAAATGACTAATATCAGCTAACCAAACGACCAGGATTAGCAAACCATAGATGTTATACCACTCAGTTCACTTTAGTTTGAAGTTGGAAACTGAAAATCAAAGGTTGGAAAACTTCATTTTAAAGGGCCAAATAGTAGACATTTTATGTTTTGTTGGCCATAGGGTCTTTGTCGTACTGTTCAACTCTGCTTTTGTAGCACAGGAGCAGCAATAGATAATAAGCAAACAAATAGACGTAGCTATGTGTCCAGAAAAACATTCACCAAAAAGGCATCAGGTCAGATTTGGCCTGTGGGCTATAGTTTGCCATCCCCTGTCATAGATTTTTATCTGCTAAAGAATCATTGTTCTTTGAATAAGAGTCCTGTAGTGTGGACCAGTGTTCTTTTGAGGAACCTTTGTTTGTGAAAGCAGTCCAGGCTTTGGGTGAGAGAGAGAGAACTTGGAAAGAATACATTTGGTGTTTACTTTGGGTCGTTTTGAACAGGATATTGAAACAACTATGTCAGGAACAGAACTTGGAACAAGTAGTATATTAGTTCACTATTGTAAAAAGTCAAGGAAAGGTTCGTATATGGGAGGAAACTTTCTCTGTTGGTTACCGGGGATGGAGGGGAGAGAAGGGAACACTGCTAGATAGGTGGAGATGAGTATTGATTTGGGTGAAGGGAGAGAGTATGCCAAAAGTGAGCAACTAACACAGTAACACTAAGGAAAAGGAAGACAGGTGCATAAGAGATGCAGACAACCAAGACAAAAACCCTTTTACATACACAGTACTGCATTATCAGTGATAACAAACATTAATCTACAGGTAAATAGATGTGTAAGACAGGCCAAATGATCGGGTATGATGTCCAGGCAAAAGGGAATGTATCTGTGACAAGGTTGGCAAATGATATTTCTACATATGTATTTGTATATGTTGGAAGAATGTCCATATAACTAGAACTAACAGGGGGCAAGGTTATGATAACTTCTTAGGCACAGTCAGCCACCCTGATGGGCCAAGTTGTTGGACCTCTGGGCTCAGGACCATGGTTGCAGGGGACATCAAGCTCAATTGGCATAACATACTACACAAAACATTGTTCTACATCCCACTTTGGTGAGTAGCAAGTGGGGTCTTAAAAGCTTGCAGGTGGCCATCTAGATGAAACAGTGAGTGGTCTCTCCTCATCCTGAGCAAGGAAGAATGAAGAAAACCAAAGATACATGGAAACAGTTAGTCGAGGGGACTAGTGGGCTATGTGAACCTCAGGATATGTGACCATGAGACCAGAAGAACTAGATGGTGCCTAGGGCTACCACTGTCAACCACTCGGAAAGGGATCAGTGCAGGAGAGCCTGAATAGAATGGGAAAACAATGTGGAACAAAATGCAAAATCATAAAAAAAGACCAAGTTTACTGGTCTGATAGAGCCTGGTGAAAGCCCCCAAAGACTGTGGCCCCTAGTTACCCTTCAGGTCTGCAGGTGAACTCATTTATTCCTGGGACTTCCAGCCAAACAATAAACAGGCATGTAGGATGAACATTTACATCAGGTAGATACACTCCTTAGAAGGATCAATCATGGGAGAACAGAAAGGCGGTATTTGCATAGAGAGATAGCTCAGGGGGCCAGGATGCATAGGAAAGAAGGATACGGGGAAGAGGTAACTATAGGAAGGAAGTGGCAAGAGAGCTGTTACATTGTGGGGAATTGGCAGTCAGTGTCCTGAAACAAAATGTGTATGAACTGCTATATGGAAAATGAACTTGTTCTGTAAACTTTCACCTAAATCACAATAAAAATTTAAGAAAACAAAAGAACAGAACAGAACTTGGAGTACAGAGACCTGAGTGTGCTTGAGTGTGATATATTGGGCAAGTCTGTAAAGAACAATTGAGGAAGTGATTGTCCTAACCCTGACTTCCATTTACATGAAAAAAAAAGTAAAGGACTTCTAACTGTAAGCATTTACTCTCAATGCAAGTTAATTCTTTGCCTTCTTACCGCTTCCTTCCACAGGCCTTGGATTACTGTCACAGCATGGGAATTATGCACAGAGATGTGAAGCCCCATAATGTCATGATTGACCATGAACACAGAAAGGTAAAGTGGTAGATGGTTTATCTGCATGATGGAGCTAACAGTTCATCTTGAACACTTTATCCCCAGCACCTGTCACAATATGATTTGGCAGTTGGTAAATACTTGAGTACATGAGCTAATTAATAAATCAGCATATTTAAGTCATATTTGTGTTCTTAAGAATGCTTTCCAGAAGGAAGACAAATTAGTATGATGGGGAAAAGTGTTAGTCATGAGTCTTACTTATTGAATAACTAGTTTCCTAGGAAATTCCTTTTTCCTCATTTGCCTCCCTTTTCTTACCTTTACAGTGGGTACAATAATATTTGCCCTCAATGTGTCACTAGGTTATAAACATTAAGTGTGTACAGTTCTGAAATAGAGGAAACATTTAGAAAATGCTTTGTGTTGTTAGGAGGTGTCATGAGGCCCTTGACTTCTGCAAATGCTTTCTGTGACAGTTGTGTGCTTTATAACATTTCTAGAGTCTGGAGATAATATGAGTGAACAAGGCAGACCAAAAAAAAAATCCTATTCCAAACATTGATCCTACGGGTGAATAGATAGGTAGACAGACTGAATAATTACATATGTCTGTGCAGGGGGCAATACATATGTCTGTGCAGAGGGCAGTGTGCCCATGACCATGTATAGAATTGGCAGACAGTGTTTCTACAAGTGTATTTGTATGTTCTGTAAGAATTCCCAAGTATACAGTAGAGGTGACAAGGGACAAGGTTGTAGTCACTTGGCCATAGCCAGCTACCTAGAGGGAGCAAGTAGTTGGATCTGTGGGCTCGGGACCATAGTCGCAGGGGACATCAAGCTCAATTGGCATAACATACTACGCAAAAACATTGTTCCACATCCTACTTTGGTGAGTAGTGACTAGGATCTTAAAAGCTTGCAAGCAGCCATCTAGATGCAGCAATGGGTCTCTCCTCATCCAGAGCAGAGAAGAATGAAGGAAACCAAAGATGCATGAAAACAGTTATTCCAAGTGACTAATACACCTTGTGATCCTCAGCCTATACAACTGAGACCAGAACTAGATGGTACCTGGCTATCACAGTCAGCTGCTGGGAGGGGGATCTCTGTAGGAGATCCTAGATAGAGTGGAAGAACAATGTGGAACAAAACTCAAAATAATTTTTTAAAAAAAGGGGGGGGACCAGGTTTGCTCGTCTGATAGAGCCTGCTGGAACCCTTGAGACTGTGGCCCCTAGACATGCTTCAGGTCTGGAAGTGAATCCACTCATGTGGCTTCCAGCCAAACAAAAAACAGGCATATGAGCTGAACGTTTACATTAGTGCCAAAGGGGCAAGGAGGCCACATCTCCTGACCTCCTCTAACCCCACAAGAGGAAGACAGAATCACTATCATTAACCCAAGGCCTATTCCTGTGAGGCCAGACATGTTGCCTCCCTTCAGCCCTTTTTCCAACCATTCCTCCCAAAGCACCCACCACCTCTCTCCTGGGTTCGATAATTCGCTGCAGTGCCCAGACAGGCTCACAGATTATGGGGTTTATTAGGGAAGCACCAGGCTACAATTCAAGTTCAGGAAAAATGCTCAGTCTCTCTCCCAGCCCACAGTCTCTCTCCTAACAGTCTCACAGTCTCTCCCAACAGTGAGTGTCCCTCGGTGTCTTACTCAGCAATGTGTGTCTCTTGCGTCTCTTTCCCAGCAGCGTGTGTCTCTTTCAGCAGCACATCATCTTCAGCCAGCAGCCAGAGTTCTGCCTCTAGGAGGCCTCCTTTTGAGCCTGGCAGAGTGGCCAAACTAGCCAATCATAGCATCAGAACTCTAAGCACCTGAGAGAGAGTGGGAACCTCCCAGAACATTGTTTTATGCCACTCCCAACAGAAATACTCCAGGTGGACAACTTTAGCAATCAGGAGCTCCTCAGTTGCTCATAGAAAATCCCACCTTGGCGTTTACAAAGACTTATGGGTAGAAAAGCCACACTAAGTAATTTACTACACCACAATTAGGTAGATACACTCATTGGAGCGATCGATCATGGGAGAATAGAAAGGCTGTGTACACATAGGGAGACAGCAGGAGTGCATGGGAGAGAAGGACACAGGGAAGAAGTAACTAAGGCGGGAGGAATGAGAGGGGAGCTGTTGCATTGTGGGAAATTACAGTCAATGTCATGAGACAATGTGAACTGCTGTGTGGAAAGTGCATTTGCTCTGTAAATTTTCACCCAAATCACAATTTAAAAATTTTTTTTTTTCCAAATTACAATAAAAATTTGAAGGAAAAAAAAACTGCATATCCACAGGAAGCTTAAATTTGGGGGAGGCTGGTGGGATAGAAAATTGTAAGTGATAGGAGAAAAAAAAGAATAGGGAATAGCTGTGGGTGTTGCAGTTTTAAGCAGGATGGTCAGAGAAGATTTCATTGAGAAAAGACGAATCAGCCATGTACCTCAGGAAAAAGTTGGTCCCAGAGGGGAAAAATAGCAAGTACCAAGGTCCTGAGGCAATAATATGCAGAGGTAAAACAATAGCAAGGATAGAGCTGGGAAAGAGTGAAGGAGACTTGATGAACTGAAAGTCAAAAAGTCAAAAAGAGGTAAAGAGGACCAGATCATGTAAAACATTATAGGTAATTGTCAGGCTTTTTCTCTAAAGATAGAAAACTTTTGCAGGGTTTGAGCAGAGGGTTGGCACAGTCTCGCTTACATTTTAATAGAGTTCATTCTGCTTCACTGCACATCTATTAGAATAGCTAAAAACAAATAAATAAAATGTGACATTACCAAATAGTGAGAATGTGGAGATACTGGATCTCTCATGCAACACAGACGGGAATTTAAAATGGTACAACCACTCTGGAAAATAATTTGGTGATTTCTTAAAAAACTAAACATGTGCTTACCATACAACCCAACAATTGCACTTCTGAATATTTATCCCAAAGAAGTAAAAACCTTAATCTACACAAAAACCTATACATGAATGTTCACCTCGATTTATAGTAGCCCCAAACATGGGAGGAACCCAAATGTCCTTCATGGGTGAATGGTTAGACAAACTGGTACACCCATACCTTGTAGCAGTATTACTGAGTAGTATCTCTCAGCAATAAAAAGGAATGAACTATTGATACATGCAACAACTTGGATGGATCTTTTTATGCTGAATGGGGAAAAAAAATCTTGAAAAGGTACATACTGATGATTGCATTTAAATAACATTTTTTGAAATGACAAAATTACAGCAGCAGAACAGATAAGGGTTGTCATGGGTTGGGAAATGGAAGGTATGACTATAAAAGGCTACTAACAACTACATCTGTGTAATGGTAAAACACTTCTGTATCTTGTGAGGGTTACATGAGCCTGCACATGTGATAACATTACATAGTACTATGTACACACACAAGTGCATGTAAAAGTTGTGAAATCTGAACAAGGTCTGTGGGTTGTGCCAATGTCGATTTTCTTGTTTTCATATTGTATTATGTAAGCTGTTACCATCAAGGGAAACTGGGTAAAGGGGACACAGGGCCTCTCTATTATTTTTGCAACTTGCTGTAAGTTTTTAATCATTTAAAAATAAAAAGCCTTTTTAAAAGGATCATTTTGGTTGCTGTGTAGAGAAGAGAAAGGAAGGCAGAGTGAAAGCTAGGAGACCAGTTAGGAGGAGAGGGTATTGGAATAAATCAGATGTGAAGTGATGATGGCGTGGACCAGAGCAATAATAGTGGAGGTGGTGATTGTGGTCAGAATATATAGCACCAACAGGACTTATTGACAGATCAAGTGTGGAGTAGGAGGGAAAGAAGAATCTAGGGCAAAAATTCTCATAATTGGACCAGTAAGCAGTATCACAATAAATGAAGAAAAGATTGAAGTTGTCGAAGACTTCATATTACCTGATTCTACAATCAGTGCCAATGGAAGCAGCAGTCAGGGTATCAGAAGATGTATAGCGTTGGGTGATTCTGCTGCAAAAGACCTCCTTCAAGTGCTGAAGAGCAAAGATGTCTCCTTGAAGACTAAGGTGTGCCTGATGCAAGCTATGGTATTTTCAGTCGCCTCGTGCATGTGAGAGCTGGACAGTGAATAAGGAAGACCAAAGAAGAGGCAATGCTTTTGAGTTGTGTTGGGAAAGAGTGCTGAAAGTACCATGGACTGCTAAAAGAACTAACAAATCTCTCCTGGAAGAGTGCAACTGTAATGCTCCTTAGAAGTGAAAATGCCTGGACTTCATCTCACTTACTTTGGTCATTTTGTAAGAAGGGACCATTCCCTAGAGAAGGATATCATGCTTGGTAAAGTGGAGGGTCAACAAAAGACGGGAAGGCCCTCAACAGGATAGATTGACACATTGGCTACAACGATGGGCTCAGGTGTAGCAAGGATCGTGGGGCTGGCACAGGACCGGACAGTGTTTTGTTCTACTGTACATAGGGTCACTATGAGTCGGAATGACTTGACAGCACCTCACAACAACAAGAAGGGCAAATCGTTAAGTTTTTAGCCTGAGTGACAGGATGGGTGGGATTTCCCTTAGCTGAGAAGGGAGAGACTGTGGAATGGGTGTAATCTCCCCATTTCCTTATCATCTCCCAAGCTGCTAATAACTTTTGTCTGTATGCATTTTTCTATTTTAGATATTTTGTATAAGTGGGATCATACAATACTTGTCCTTTGTATCTGACTTATTTCACTCAGCATAATGTTTTTAAGATTTATCCGTGTCGTAGCAGATATCAGAATTTCATTTTTCTTTGTGGCTGATAATATTCTATGCATGGTGGATAGACTACATTTTATCTGTTTGTTGATAAACACTTGGGTTGCTTCCTCTTTGGGTTATTATGAATAACAGTGGTTTAGTTGTGAGATGTCTGTCAGATGATTATAGAGACATGGTTGAGTATAACTTGAGATCTGATAGGAGGCCTAGGCGAGAGGCATAGGTGAGGTTCCCTGAGATCACTGTCCTTGAAGGTAGATGACCAGAAAAAGTCATCGAGGATCCTGTTGATAGAAAGGGGCTCAAGGATAGCCTTCTGGAGCACTAATACTAAGGGGCTGAGGGGAAAGACAGACTGTAAATGTTACACTTTCTTTCATACTTTTGCTGGATTTCCCTTTGTTTACTACAACAAGGAAGATGCTGTATTTACTAGTAAACCGTGAACTTAGAGGCTGTGTTGATGCCAGAGCAGTCAGGCCACGATTCCTCATTTCCTTATTCCTCCGCCCACATTTCAGATCATGATCATGCTTTGCACAGTGAAGGGTGCTTCTTCTTATTGCTATTCTTTTTCCATTTTTAGAGCACATTTTGGCATAAAGCTGTTTTGTGTGGCTTTTCTGTTACTTCATTACCTCAGCAAATATTTTATTTTCTCCTCTATGCTAGACATTATGTTGAATTCTCAGAGTTACCAAGTTGAATAAAATAGCCTACTTTCAAGGAGTTTATAGCCTAAATTGAAAGAGAAGGGCAGAAAACTGTCATTTTGTACCATCCCAGTAACTTTTGAATAGGCCATTTATGCATATCCATGGTGATCTCTTACATGAAATGTACAACATAAATCACCTCAATTCATCTCTCATACCTTCCGTTGCTTTAACTGTCATAATGTCATAGGTTATAAATGCATTTGGACCTAACTTAAGGAAAATACAGGCAATCCCCAGATTACAAACAACCTATTAGTTACAAACCAACTCCCGTAAAGCCTATTATATTAAAAATCACAGGTATATACAGTGGTTTATAACAAATGGGCATCACTTTGTGATACACATCAAAACTTTACTATTTTTATGTTAAACATGTTTTACTATATCTGAGAGTGCATCTTTAATGGTTTTTATGCATTAGTATATGTCTTGTTGTTGTTGTTGTTATGTACTGTCAAGTCGAACCCAACTCATAGCTACCCCTCCTCCTTGGGTTTCCGAGGCATATCACTACGGAAGTAGATTGCCCCATCTTCCTTCCGAGGAGTGGCTGATGGGTTTGAACCTCCAGCCTTCTGGTTAGCAGTCAAGTGCTTTGGGCACTATGCTACCAGAGCTCCCAGTATATGTCTTAGTATATTGTATATTATACTTAGTCTCCAGGTTACAAATGTCAGTATAATCCGACTTACAGTAATGAACCAACTCACGTAAAACCTATTATAGTAAAAATTTCATGTACGTACAATGGTTCGTAATTACAAATGGGCGTGTATCACAACATTATTACTGTATTATGAGGTTAAAGATATTTTAGTGTATCTGGAAATGCTTCTTTAATGTTTTTTATGCATAGAAATACACTAAGTATAATATACAATATACTAAGACATATACTGTATGTTATACTTAGTGTATTTCTATGCATAAAAAACATGAAAGCATTTCCAGATACACTAAAATATCTTAATCTTATAATACAATAATAATGTGATGCACTCCCATTTGTAATTACGAACCATTGTACGTACATCGAATTTTTACTATAATAGGTTTTATGTGGGTTGGTTCATTACTGTAAGTCGGATTGTACCGAAGTTGGACATTTGTAACCTGGGGACTGCCCAGGGTATAAAACAAAAAGTTGTAGGTGCTATTGAAGAAACACCCAAGGTTCAGAAGGCTGAAGGCAATGGTCAGTGCTTAGATGATTTAAGAAAGCTTCATTGAGGAGCTAACTTAGTATCTCAGAAAATGAGATGTTCCACTGGTAAGAGTATGGATTGGATAGTGGGGACTTTCTAGTCCTATGAGCAGTTTAAGAAATTATCAGAAGCACAAAACGAGATTATGTCTTTTAGGAACTGTAAGTCTCACTGGAGCGTAAGAACTAGGTCATGGAGTGTCCTGTAGGTCAAGCTGTGAAGTTTGATTTTCATCCTAAAGGCAGTGAGTAGCTACTGAAAGGGTTTCAGTAGGAAGTGACATGGCTACTCTATTTGAAGAGTACTCATGGCAATGTGGTGGGTAGCATAGAGGAAGGTCAGATTGCTCATTACTTACTCCCTTTATTTTTCTTTTCAGCTACGACTAATAGACTGGGGTTTGGCTGAGTTTTACCATCCTGGCCAAGAATATAACGTTCGAGTTGCTTCCCGATATTTCAAAGGTCCTGAGCTGCTTGTAGACTATCAGGTGAGAAGAGAAGAGCAAGTACAATCCCAATCACTATTTCGTATTACACATCAATTGTAAGATAAGTCATTTTGTGTCACCCCAGTAGCTTTTGAGTAGACCATTGATGGATATACGGTGGTCTCTTATAGGAAGTATAAAATATAAGTCATGACATTTTGTCTCTCACTCCTTATGTTGCTTTTGTTGTCATGATGTCAGTAGAATATGAATGGGTCTGCATTTGGTCCTAATTTAAGGATATAGTTTGAGAATTCTGAACAAGGCTTACATATAATGACCTTCTCTCCACCAAAAGAAAAAAGAAGAACTAAATTAATAATAGTTTATCTAGCATATAAGATTTGCCAAATGTTTTTAAAATGCTTGGGGGAGTACCTTTCATGACCCAGACAATTATCAGATACCTTAAAAAGTTTCAGACTCTTTGACCTAAAAATTCCTGTTCTGGAATCTTAAGGATAGAACTCTGAATTCAAAAAGCATTTTATACACAGATAATTCTTTACATTACTATAATAGTGGAAATCAAAACACTGTTATAGGGGAAAATAAACATTAAATTCTGGAACATTTATGTAATAAAATATTCATAGCAGATATTGATTCTGTAGGCTAACAATTTGGGGGGACACTTAAGTAAGTGAAAGAAGCAGTTCAAACAGTATGTACAGATTGTTTTAAAACTGTGGGAAAAAAATGCATAGAAGAAAAAATTGAAAAAATATATGAAGATGGTATAAGTGTTTGGCTTTCAGTAATGTAGCATGATTGGTTTTCTTCTTAATAATGAAAAGCAGTTTCATTCTGAAGTGATAAGCCTGGGGATTCATGTATGGTAACTATTTTCTTTACTTTTATGCAGATGTATGATTATAGTTTGGATATGTGGAGTTTGGGTTGTATGCTGGCAAGTATGATCTTCCGGAAGGAGCCATTTTTCCATGGACATGATAATTATGATCAGGTGATACACCTATTGTTCCCATTAGGGAACTTGCTAGTCTGACATAATGATGGGCACACCTGTCTACTTACTAGAAACTCCTGTAGATCTTGCTAAAATACAGATGCCCAGTTCCCACTGAGATTGATTAATTCAGAATATCTGAAGGTGGGGCCATAGAATAATTTTCAATTTACCACTTGTTCAGATGACTTGACATTGATGTTTTTGAGAGCTATGAGTTTAGCCTTTTGAAATCAAATGTTTCTCCCTTAGTTAGTTTGTGTGTCTGTTTTGTTGTGAAATACACATATTTTATAAAATATGTGTAATTCAAATAGCAATATTAAAACGAACAACCATGTAACTATAATCCAGTTTAACAAATAGGACATTATTTTAGAATCCTCTGAAGTGAAATGTTTTCTCCAGTATGTTGGTTTATATGTGGTATTTCCATGATCCTTTTTGTCTCTATCTCTTTATACCAAAGGAGTTAATAGATTTCAGGAGACATGTAGATGGTGCTTTTTATACTAGCTGTATTTCTGCCTTGAAGGTCAAGGTGCCATTTCATTCAAGAGACCCTGCCATGAGTCTAGGACCTTGAGAAGGCACTGTTCTATGTTCTCTTTGAGCATATGGCTATTTTTAATATGAATCAAAGAATACCACCTAAATTGTGTTGAAATCATTAATTCACTATCAGATGTTAAAGTTGAAGCATGCAGAATAAAAGAAAGAATAGTCTTTGCTCTCAGAAAGTTCATAGTCTATCCAGTAAAGAAAATTATAAGGAAATATACCCACTTATCACTTACTGATATGGTTAGGTTCCAAAGACCAGGTCATTAGTGAAAATAGAGGGTGACGGCATCAGATCACAAAATGGACGATGACTACACCCATTATATAACTGCCAAATTACATTACATTACTACCTAACTGCCAAATCACTGAGAATCATGACCCAGCCAATTTGATACACACCTTTGGCCATCACAGCCAGCATTAACTCTCACCTTTTACCTCAGCATTTGTTACTGCTAGACATGTATCATTAATGTGCAAAATATTCAGAGTAGATTTTTCACTGCTGTTATAAATGTGAAATGTTGGCTAACAAGATAGTAAGTGAGGAATAGGTGTAAATTACCATCATGAATGTCAGAGTCGAAGTGTGGACATGGTATAAAAGGCAGTAATGTGGGAAGTGCATGCTCTAAGTATGCAAGTGGAACTTCCAGAAAAAAGTGAAATCTTCCATTGGTTTTTAAGAGAAAAAAGACTTCATCATTGAAAAGTTCAAGAGGAAGAAACCACATTATAAGCAAAGCTTGCTTTTTCTTTTCATCATTTTCACATTGAGTTGATTTAGAGGATTTTACATGGAAATCCATTCCTGGCATTCACATTTAATTGAAGTAAACTGCAAAGAGGGTAATATTCATACTGGTAGCCATCATGATCCCTTTATCTTAATTCAGCCATAATTAATTGTTTATGTAATCATGTAATGGCTTGTGGTGTGAGTTTTTGTGTTTTTCCAATTCTAGTTGGTGAGGATAGCCAAAGTTCTGGGGACAGAAGATTTATATGACTATATTGACAAATACAACATTGAATTAGACCCACGTTTCAATGATATCTTGGGCAGGTAAGTCACAAAATAAAACCCACGCATTTGTGGTTTGAGCACTTTGAGTGTAAACTGACACTTTGGAACGTAAAGAAGTTTGTTATTTTTGTCAACACTGCTAAGGTGTTGAGGCCCCAGTGCCCCAGTATGGTGCATGAGCAGGACCGTGATAAAGGCACTGGGTCATGTGGCCATTTCCCAGATTCACTTACAGGAGTGAATGTGGGGGCTAGAGTCAAGAGGATTCTTACAAAATTAATGAAATATGGGTTTTAGTAGAAGGAGTTACAGTTGAGTCAGATATCAAAATCTGTTGGTTTAACCTGCTTCTCCAAATGGCAAAACCTTTCTAAGAGAAAGAAAATGTGTGTTTAAAGTCAGGTGCAGACACCTGACTATAATGGTAGTGACTAGACACAATACTAGTAAGCTAACCACTTACCGGGAAGAGAGGGGCTTTCATGATACAAAGACTTTTGCTGGCCAAGTGGCAAAGATACCAGGACTGTGTGTGGGCATGGGAAAGAGCCTGGTTGGCCTAACCACCTGAGACTCCTTGCTACACAGGAGCATTCTCCTGTAAAATAACCTGAATTGTATTTCTTAAAATTGTGAGGACCCAGATTTCTGCAACACAGCTATTTCCAGTCTCCAATTAGTTTTGTTATTTCTCCAGTGGCAGAGTGGTTATGAGACTACTCTCTTGAGTTTTGGTCCCTCTTTGCTATTGGCTGAGCTCCTTTCCACTAAGGAAAATCTGAGAGGAAAATGTTAGACTTCTCTGCGCTCTAGTCCATTTCTCATTTCCTCTCGTGGCTTTGCAGACATTCACGTAAGCGATGGGAACGCTTTGTCCACAGTGAAAACCAGCACCTTGTCAGCCCTGAGGCCTTGGATTTCCTGGATAAGCTACTGCGATATGACCACCAATCTCGGCTCACTGCCAGAGAGGCCATGGAGCACCCCTATTTCTGTGAGTCCAACTCTCCAGTCCACAGACCCTATGCAGGCCCTCCCACAACTGCTCTAGCAGACTATGTAAAGCAGGGAAGAAAAGTGCTGTGAAGAAAGCTCTAAGCCCAGAGTCACACAACAGGGTAGGAGTCTCATACCCATTAACTCCCATTAGCTTTGTTACCTTGAATAAATTTACTTCACCCACAGACCTTTTTTTTCTTTTTTTTTTTTTTTTTCCTCTTTTGTTGTTCAGAATATACACAGCAAAACATACACCAATTGGACCATTTCTACATGTACCATTTAGTGACATTCATTACATTCTTAGAGTTGTACAGCCATTCTCACCCTCCTTTTTTTTCTGAGTTAATTTCTCCCTCATTGACATAAACTCACTGCTCTGTGAAGTTCCTTTCTAACCTTTCAAGTTACTGTTGTCACTTTGATCCCATATAGATAGTTCTTAGTAGAGCATAATGCTCAAGGCAGACCTTTTTTACTAGTTAAATGATTGGTTTTAAGATGACTTCATGGTATATTTTTTGTTTAAGGTTTAAAGATTATCTCAGGGAAATCATTTAAGGGGTTCATCTACCCTCCATGGTTCCAGAAAGTATAGAGTCCATGAGAATTTGAAATTCTGAATTTTCACCTTTTTGATCAGGATTCCTCAGTGCAATCTTTAATCACAATGTTTAGTAATGATAGCTAGGCACCATGTAGTTCTCATCTCATGACACAGGAAGCAGTTATTCATGGAGGCAGTTAGCTACACATTCCATATCCTCCTCCTCCTGTTCCTGACTCTCCTTCCTCTGTTGCTCTAGGTGAATAGAGACCAATTATTGTGCCTTGGATGGCTGCTTGCAAGCTTTTAAGACCCCAAGCACTACACAACGAAGTAGGAGGTAGAACAGAAGCATTAAACTCCTTACTGGTCCAATTAACTAGGATTTCCCATGAAACCAGGGCCAAATAAGCATTGCATAGCAACCAGTTCTGTTGCCTGTGGTATTTTAATAGTGGTGCACTCAAAGATAGCTGTCGACTATATGGCTTTGAATATGTGTGGTTCTCCAGAGTCCTGCTGAGGTTTGGTTCCAGGATTCCCCATGGATACCAAAATCCACACATGCTCACGTGTAGTATTTATGTAAAATTGTGTATTATTTGCATATAACCTATGTGCATTCTCCCATATACTTTTAATCATCTCTGTTATTGTTAAATGTGCTGTCAGGTCGGTTTTGACTCATACCAACATTGCAGAACAGAACAAAACACTGTCTAGTCCTGTGCCATTCTCACAATCATTTATATGCTTGAGCTTTTCATTGCAGCCACTGTGTCAGTCCATCATGCTGAGGGTCACGTCCTTTTTTACTGTCCCTTTACTTTACCAAGCATATCCTTCTCCCGGGACTGGTCCCTTCTGACAACATGACCAAAGTAGGTGAGATGTAATCTGACCATTCTCGCTTCTAAAGAGTATTCCTGCTGTACTTCTTTCACAACAGATTTGTTTCTTCTTCTGGCAGTCCATGGTGTTTTCAGTATTCTTCACCAGCACCATAATTCAGAGGCATCAGCTCTTCAGTTATCCTTATTCATTGTCCAGCTTTTGCATGCTAACAAGGCAATTAAAAGTACCATGGCTTGCATCAGTCTTCAAAGTAACATCTTTGCTCTTTAACATTTTTAAATAGTCTTTCACAGCAAATTTGCCCAGTGCAATATGTTGTCTTATTTCTTGACTGCTGCTTTCATGAGCATTGATTGTGGATCCAAATAAAATGAAATCCTTGACAACTTCAGTCTTTTCTCCATTTATCACGCTGTTCATTATTGATCCAGTTAGATGATTTTTATTTTCTTTATGTTGTGTAATGCATAGTGAAGGTTATAGTCATTGATCTCCATCAGTAAGTGCTTCAAGTCCTCTTTGCTTTTAGTAATAAGTAAGGTCGTGTCATCCACATATCACAGGGTGTTTATGAGTTTTCCTCCAATTCTGATGCCACATTCCTCTTTATATAGTCCAGCTTCTCGGTTTATTTGCTTAGCATACAGATTGAGTAAGTATGGTGAAAGGATACAACCCTGATGCACTCCCTTCCTGATTTTAAACCATGCAGTGTTCCCCTGCTCTGTTTGAACGACTGCCTCTTGGTCTGTGTATAGGTTCCACATGAAAAAACACAGATAAACATATTTCTAGGGAGCCCTGGTGGTGTAGTGCCTAAGACATTTGACTGCTAACCAGAAGGCTGGTGGTTCAAACACACCAGCCACTCCTCAGAAGGAAGTTTGGGCAGTCTACATCTGTAGAGATACTGCCTCAGAAACCCAGAGAGGGGTCGCTATGAATCTAAAACAACTCAAAGACAGTGAGTTTGGTTTGTGGGTTTTGTTTTTTTGTGGGGTTTTGTTTTTTTTTTTGGTTTAAACACATGTCTGGTATTCGCTCTCCTTTCACCAAGTTCTGTCAAATATCAGCAGTGATATCCCTCGTTTTATGTCTTCTTCTGAATCGACTTCAATTTCTGGCAGTTTCTTGTCAGTGTCCTGCTGCAACCCTTTTTAAAATTATTTTCAGCCCAGTTTTACTTGTGTGGATTATTAATATTGTTTGATAATTTCCACATTCTGTTGGGTCCCCTTAGTTTATTAGATTCAGTTGTTGAAAGCTTAGACCTGACATCATTGCCCCTGCTTCTTGTTCTAAGAATTTTATGGTTTTAGTTTGCATTAATCCATTTTGAATGTGTTTTTGTGTATGGTGTGAGACAAGGATCCTGTTTCCTTTTTTTGCATATTTGAGCCCCATTTCTTCAAATGGGGGCAGTGATGACAATTGTCTTGCAGAATTATTAGGAAGATTCAGTAGGAATATAAGGAATCTAGTCAAGCTATGTACCTGACATATCAGCATTCCAAGTAAACTTTTTCTTACTGTATAGTGATACTTAACAATAGTACAGGCTAGTCTAGCATGGTACCTTTGGAACACACAGGTCTTTATCTGCCATGTCTTGGTCATTGGAGAGCGCCACTCAGACTTGAAAATCTTAATATTGTCCAGACATCTTTGACTTAGGTTTATGTGTATACCTAACTGTGCTTAGTGAAAATGCCACTTAGACCTACCCCATCTTCAGTGTGGTATTAGCTTCAAAATTGAAGTTCCCTAGGGAGAGTGGTAGGATGGTTTTATGATGAATCCATTATGCGTTTTCCCAGTCTCTTGTACCTGAGGCAGGCCAACAGCCTGGTTGGGATGGAAGTGAAGTCTTGTTACAGCACTAACCTATGCACACCTCAAGCTTTGGCCTGCTTGGCATCCTGTACTAACCAGTTGAGGTGTGGGCCATGGTAAAACCCTGATAATAGGTGAGGTATCATGTGGTCATCCAGACCATTTACATTCTAGTACTCTCTTTGCCAGGTTAGGTTGCACTCTCTCCATTAAACCTTAGGCTCTTTGTTTTAATTAGTTCTACTAAGGAAAATGGCCACATATTTATACCATGCAGTTTGAAAGGGAAGATTTCTATTGTATATTATTTGTCTAATTCAGGATGAAAGTAGTTACCACTTTAAGTTCCTCTGGTTATAATACGAAACATAAATAAAATGCAAAGATGGCCCCAGACTGTTAGTTTAATTAATCCTTCAAGCAAAACAGACCCTAAGCTTTTTCTCTCTCTTCTAGACACAGTTGTCAAGGACCAGACTCGGATGGCCGCATCTAGCATGGCGGGGGGCAGTACGCCTGTCAGTAGCGCCAATATGATGTCAGGTCAGTTCATTTGGTAAATTTTCTAAAAAACTATAATAGTTACTATTTTCATCTCTGCCCCCTCTTTGTAGCTGAAACATTTTCTTCTTTACTTTCTTTTCTCTGTAATGACAGCTTTATTGGCATACTGGCCTGAGCATGTTTGTGTGACATTCTTTACCAGGTTTCAGGACACTGCCTTAAATGAGGTATTGACAGTCTCTTCTAGGTCAGAATTCCAGCATCCCTAACCGAAAATGTCTTTCAGAAAGAAAGACTTCAAAGTTCTAGCAAGCCATGATGTGTAAAGTAGGGAGCTATTCGTCTCACGTTTTAGAGGGACAGTAGTTGCATGGCCCTCAGAAACAAGATTAAGAAATTGAGGATGGGATGTGTATATGAGTATGTGTATGAAGATAGTTATCTGATATTTGGCAGAGCAGTGACAGTGTAGCTTGTAAATTGTAAAGATTTATATGAAATTATTTTTTCATTATTGTTAAATAATACCGTGTAGAGAATTTTTGTAGGCCTGTTCCTCACAAATTATATATGTAGGCAGTATCCAAGTGGATATACTTGTGGTAGTGAGCACATTTATTCAGACATTCTCAAAGAATTGCTGTTGTCCCAATTCTTTTTTTAAAGAACTAGAACCACCCTCTAGAATTTACCCTCTAAATATCTTGCTTATGTGCAAAATAATGTGTATTCAAGATGACTCATTATAGCCTATTTGTAATAGCAGAACATTGGAAACAGTGGTTAGTAGGTCACTTGTTAATCAGTTACTGAACACGGATTCAGTTGGGATACTGGTGTAGCCAGTGAAAAGGGTAAGAAAGTGCTTCATGTTCTGTTATACCTCAAATTCCAGGATAATGTTAAATAATAAAAAGCAAGATACAGAGCCATATCCAAGAATAAGGAATGGGCAAAAATATGTAGTTGTTTCCTATATATGTTTCTTATGTGCATCTACTTTAAAAATTACATTCATGCTTGTCATTTTTGAGACACGTGCTGTGAAAACCTGGCAACTGAGATTTCCATGGTTGGTGTCTCTGGCTGACTCTTTGCTATTCTCTTTCAGGGATTTCTTCAGTGCCAACCCCTTCACCCCTTGGACCTTTGGCAGGATCACCAGTGATTGCTGCTGCCAACCCCCTTGGGATGCCTGTTCCAGCTGCCGCTGGCGCTCAGCAGTAATGGCCCCTTCTATCTCCTGATTCCTGAGCAGAGGTGGGGGAGTCCGCCCCTCCCCTTGATGCAGCTTGCGCCTGGCAGGGAGGGGTGAAACACTTCAGAAGCACCGTGTCGCTTGTGGATTTA